CGCTTTGCGCCCCCAAAACCCTTACACACTGGTTCCTTATGTACACCCCAAAGAGTTTAACCCCAAACATTATTTTGGTTCAGGGGCTCAGTCTGTGTGTTGCTCCTGGCAACCGCTCTGCGTACCTTGGGGGAGAACTTGCCATTAGCACTGATGTTGGTAATGACAACCCAAACCGAGAGAGCGAACTTCTCAAAAAGCAGGCTGTGGGGGGCTCTAACGGCGAGACCCCAGTGAGCGGCTGGTGCGGAGAATCAGAGAGTTTGGTGTCTCACACATTACCCACAGTGCCCGTGGAAACCAGGGACCGTGTGCCCTTTCCACTTGGCGAAGGAGGGCAAGCAGTGAGGATCACATGCTCTAGACCGACCACTGGTGCTATCTGTCATATTACACAGAAGCACCATCAAAAATGGGGTCAGAGGGTGAATGAAGACCCGCTGATTTGAACCGGATATCCAGTATTGGGCGTGGCCTTGTTCTAAGAACACAGGCTGGCCGCTGACTGACCTCAGTCTTTGAGCTGCCTTGGAGGAGCGGAGCAACACGCCCACACACGCGATCCTGCACAACTGTCCTCAAGCTGGATCGGTGCGTCACATACAAAGGGCTGTCTGGGTCTCCAGTACTGAGCTCCACGTGGTAAGAGTCGCTCTGAGACCTGGGGGGCAGGGAACGTCCAGCTTGAATTCCTGCCAGAATGTTCACATGCCCTGGAAACCTGGAAGAGCGATTCAGAGGGTGGCTGTACACAAGGTGACTCTTCCACTTGTGAGCCCTGTTCAAGAAACCGCTTTGGGCTTCCACTGCGTTTGTTATCTCTTCATCTTAGGGCCCTGGCACACTGGAGAAGCCTGAGTCGCGGCGTTTCCAGGGCAAAGGAAAAAGGGAGAAGACTGGAGTGTGAAATGGTGGGGGGCGGAGAAGTAGCAGGGCTTTCAGTTGGTTCACAACCATGAGAACAGTTACCAGCAAGACGCCGACCTATGGAGATTTCCATAATAGGGTTTCTCTTACAATGGTTCTCTCATCAATCTTTATTATGGAGCCTGCAAGGATGTTAATTTAGGTAGGAGTATTATATTATTCTATGCACCACATCGTAGCCATTTTTCAAATATTAATAACTTGACTTTCTTAGTTTAAAAAAAAACACAACATACACACACACACAACTCAGAAGGACCTGACTTCAGATGATGAATTTCTAGTCCAGAAGTGATTTCAGAAAACAAGCCATTCTTTCCAGCACAAAGGCACTCGGATTTTACCTGCCGGGCGCTCTCCCCGCCTCCTGTTCCCTTCCTTGGCCAGTATTTTCTCTACGGAGGAGAATCTAAGGACCTTCCTCTGGAGTTCGCATTCTCCTACATTTTCCTTGGAAGGAACTCGCATCCCCTCTTTATGAAAGGGTAGCTGGGCTTAAAGGGGAACAATCTCAAGAAGACTCCAAGAAGAAGGATCTCCGTCAGACTGGCTCACGAGAGCAAACGGGGAACAAGAGCAAATCCAGAATGGTCACGGTCCCGCATCTTCATGCAAGGCTCCCTCTGTTTTCCAAAGGGAGGAAAAGCCCCCGTTTGTTTGGACTCTTTAAGGGGGCTAAGAAGAACCCACTGTTATGAAGTGGTGCACAGAATCCACTAGAGACTGACTCAGAGAGGCCAGCCCCCAAAGGACACTCGTGTGTGGTGAACCGGGGAGCAGAGGAAGAGGATGGACTGCCGC